GAGGGAGCCCTCTGCCTGCCTCCCGCAGCAGGGCAGCTCCGGCTCTGCTCGGACATCCCACTCCGTGCCCTGCCCCTGGGCGCTGGGGCTCCCGTCAGGGTCCCCACGAAGCCACTTCATCGCGGGGCTGAACGAGCCTCATTTCGCAGCATCTCCTCCCCGGACGAGGGTGCCCCTCACCAGCCTCGGTGGCCTTTCCCCAGTCTCACCCCAAATGCCTTTCAGCTATCAGGGGCACAACTGGACGATGCCACCTAAGAGGGAACAATGGCTCTCCCCTTTCCCCATGTCTTCCTTCGAGCTAAAGAAAAAGCAAACCCTCATTCTCATCAAGCTGTCAGGCTCAGTTTCCCGAAAGAATACAATTAAATCTCTGTATGGCAACGTGACCATCAGTTCTTCCCCATCTCAAAAGATGCTTCTCAAGCTGCGTTCGGCTGTTCCTCTCTTCCACCCCCTCCTATCAGTTTTCCTTCCCGCCGCTGAGTGCAACACAGGCTGTGGCTTCGCAGCCAAGAAAAGGTGCGATTTGGAGAGCGCAGCGCGACGTTGTGAGTGGCAGAAGTGAAAAGGCAGAGAAGCAACTCTTGAGAACCTGCCTTCTGCTGTGGCGGGTGTTAGCCCTGGCAAAACCTCAACTTCCAGAATTTTCTTGCAAAATCAAAAAGAAAAAAAAAGCAATTAGAGGACCTGTCGGATTTGGATGCTGCTTTTCTTTCCCTTGTTCCCTCGAAATGAAAAATACATTCTTTCTCTCCTTCACAGCACAGTTGGTGCAATCTGGGATGTACTTGCCTGACAGTATATAGGGAAGCAGTTTTGTTGTCTCAATTTGGGGTTCCCCAACACTGGCAGGACGAAATGCATGCTAAGTACCTTGATGTTGCTGCACTTGGAAGACACCTTGGAAGCCTGAATAAACAATGGGGTTTCCCCCCTAAGCAGGCTTGGAAATCTAAGTCTCCCCCTCATTTTCCCCATTTGGGGAGTGCTTTCCTAATGCTGTGAGTTTGGAAGGGGTCCATTAAAATGAAGAGGGAGACACTAAGAGAGAGAGAGGGAAAGTGCAGAAGCTTTCCTGCCCCCAGCTCAGAGCTGCAGCTGGAGCCAAGGCGAGGGCTCTGCTGGAGCTGAGCATCTGCCTGGGGTTGGTCATCCTATCCTTCAGCTGCAGAGTTACTGCAGCCTTCTCTGCTACCCTGTTCGTGTTTGAGGCAGGTCTGGGTGGACCTCTGACCTGCTGCAGCACAGTGATTTCACCTCCTACAATGTGGGCAACAAATAATAAAAATGATGGTTACTAATAATAGCCCTCCCTCTCCATCCCTGATGGTTTATACATGCAAAAATGCTGCAGAGTCATTTCAGTATTCCCCCTGGTTCATTAAACCACCATCCATTTTCCCGCAGATAAGATGGTCCGTCAGGGGAAGGAATGATGGCAACTCATTTGTCACACTTGTTAAATGTAGAAAAGGCTGGCTTTGGGTCACTTCCAGTTTTGTGTCAGCTCTGCCTTTATCTGAGCAGCCCTGTGCCTGCATACCAAGCAAGGCGTCCCTCTCCTGTGCAGAACAGGAGATGAGGATGGTGGTATTGTTCCCACAAGATTTTGTAGGGTTGAGGGGGTCTCTGAATGCAAAAGCATTTGCAACATGGCTCCATCGAGATCCTGCTCATAGGAAGGAACACACTCTTTACTGCAAGAGGTGCCAGGCACATTGGTCCCACAGTGATCTAAGCCTGTGGCTTTGAGCCCCTGGCACTGCATTCACAGTCACCCTGTGTGACTTATACCCTGAGCCCATCCAGCCATGCTTGTGTTTGGGCTGCAAAGCTTGAGGGGTGTGATGAGCACCTGAATGGTGAAGGACACCAAGCCAAGGCCTTGGACACAGCTAATGTGAGCTTGGTGCAGGTACAGATGGAGAGAAAAGGGGATACAACCTCATCTCTGTTCTCCTCCCAGCCTCGGAGGATTTCTGCATGACTAGTATGGATCTTGCCTAAGCTAACACTGTCCCAGTGGGCTTTAATTTGCTCTAATTATCAGGTGCCAGCTCAGGGTGGCTGCAACATGAGTCATTTTGGCTGTACCTACTTTAAAGGTATTGCTATCTTGACAGGCCATCTCCCTCCTCTGCCTGGGACAAGGACTGAATATAGCCCCTAGATATGTTAGAATGGAAATGCTGATGGCTATGACCCCTCAGTCTTGCTTCAGGAAACGGAACAAGAAGCAATCAAGAGAGGTTGGGAAGAGTCTTGACCTCTGGATGTGATCATAGAGCAATTCATGGCTGAGATACTGCCAGGGCACCATGTACTGCACTGCTGGCCAAAACCTTGGTGCAAAACAGACCCCTGTTCTGGTCTGGTGTGCAAATGCCTTCCAGCAGGTGGGGACCAGGGAGGACTGCAGGTCCTTCTGCCCACAGCTCCTGCCATAAATGAAGCCCAGGCTGGGATTAAGGTGTGGAGACCTGAGCAGGAAGGAGGTGACATCCCATGAGGTTTTCAGAGAAGCATCCTCATGGTCTGCCCCCACATCTCACTATGGCACAGCCCAGAGACAGCCTGTTGATTTAACCATAGACTCAGCAGATGATGGAGTGTCCCATGACAGCCTGTCTGCATTCCTCATCTCTTGCTTCACCTTCACTTTTGTGGTGGGAGCAAAGGTGGATGCTGTTGCTTTCTCCCAGCTCCACAGCTGGTCTGCGCTGACTAGTGCGCCTTGACGTGAGGTCATCTTACAGCTGGAAAAAGATGAGGCAGCTATGGCATATGAGATGAGATGAAGGGTCAGAGGTGCTGAAAAGCTGTATTTTAGTCCTGGCCTTGCCATTTGTTTATGGTGGTTTCGAGTCAGGGCGTGTTGATTTGCAGCACTGCAGGCAGCCGCAGGCAGCTATCAGGAAGGGAGGGCACTGAGCTCCTGCCTCCTTCAGTGGCAAGCACACATCATGTCTGAAATCTGGCTCTTGGTAATGACCCTGGGAAGTGCTGCAGTAGCTGCAGGGTCAGACTGTGGCGATTTATTTCTGTCTTCAACATTGGTCCTAGCAGGTGAGGGGGGGCCTTTGCCTGCTTATCATTGATCTTCCATCACAGAAGTTGCTGAGGTCTCTGCTCTTAAATCTGGATCTGCACTCTCCTTCATGGCTGCATGTGGCCCTGACCTGCAACAGCATCCCTCACTCCTGCTTTAAATCTCCCCAAGCAGCTGCTGGTGATTCTCATATTTTCTTCTGCAGCCCACAGCGACCAGGAGCCCAGCCCTCCTAAGGAAGGAATTAACCCAGTAGCATCACGTATCAGAGGTATCTTTTTATTGACTGTTTACAGAAATACAGTAGCACTCCACTTAGGTGGCTTAGGCGAGTGGTCCAGAAGCTGCCTTCCTTCTCAGCACTGCTGGGAGAGCCCAAGGAGAAACCTGCCCTTTAGCACTTTGGGGTTTCTCTGGAGGCTTTGGGGGTCCCCAGCATGAACTTCATCTAACACCCTCAGCTTTCCAGGGGTTGGGAGTTGTTTGAACCAGCGGATGAAATTCAAGAGAAGAAAAGGAAAAGAAACCCCCATAAGCTGGGGGGTGGTGGGGCGGTCTGAACACACCTGATATGTTGTGAGACAGCCCTGCTGTGGTCCCCATCCATCACTGCATGTGTCTCCAGCTCTGCAGGACCCACTGCTCCCCAGAGCTCAGCTCTCTGCCACTAGGCATGTGTCACTCTGGGCTTTGCACACTCTTTTCAAACAGCTTGTCGACCATAAAATAAATATTTCTTGGTCTATTTCTTTCCCTGTACACATGTAAGAGTGAGACCCTTTCCTACCACAGTTCAAATACTATTTGGGGGCAGAAAGGGTATGCTCAGCTGGGCTGATAAACTAATTCAAATTTTATTTATGTATTCAATTGACTTTGGTGGGTTTCGTTGGTTGGCTTTTTTTGCAATCAAGGTGTAGTGGTTGTTATTTTTGTGTGTGTCCTTGCTACAAGAAACAACTGCAGACACTTCTGGCATAGAGGCATTTTGGCGGCGGCCGCTGCTGTTGGCCTCACTCTAGTAGTCAGTGAGAGGGTATCGCAGGAAGATGAAGATAAGGATGATACAGAAGGTGGCAAGGGCTGAGCTGGTGATGTTAAAAAGCCGGGCTGTCTTAGCATCTTCAACTGCTCCATTTAAATCATTGAGGAGTTTCTTATCCCGGACCTGAGACCAAAAAAACCAATTAATTGAGAGATGACAACTTGTTTCAAGCAACACCCACAAAACCCAATGCACCTCTACATGGTTTCCTGTACAGCAGATGAGGGCTAGGCTGTGCCTTTTGGTATTCGAATGCCTGGGGTGACATAAAACACCCTGAGGTGAGATTTGCACTCTATCTCTGCTATGGATTGATCTTGTGAAGCCAAGCACAGTAATACCCGTGGGCTGGAAATTCCTGGAAGCGGGGAAGACTCTGAAGAGTGTCCTGTTGCTGTTACCAATTAGGTAAACAAGGTCCTTGTGCTCCCCAGAGTGGGGCAGTGTCATTTTGAGCCTGAGGGTGCACAAGGGAACTGGGATGCCATTGTGCATCTCAGGCACAGGGGCACTAAGGCACATTTCCCACCGTGTGATAGCCCCCTGGCCCTGCAGCACCAGGCTTCAGCTCCCCCAGCCCACAAGTGAGAAGACTGGCTGCCGTTTCAGTGTGCATTCCTGTGCCTCCATCTGCACTGAGGGGCTGAGCGGGTGAAACCTGGCGCAGCATCCTACTGCAGCTCCAGGGCTGCGCACGAGCCTCCAGCATATTAAGTAGTCCTGGGTTAATGAGTTCCTTTCCTTTTGCAGGTCTTATGCGGCTTGTGTAGCATCTCTGCCACAGGCAGTTTTCTATTCTGACAGCACAGTCTGCTCTCTCTGTTATCCTGAGGGCTGGGACTTTCATGGGCTTGCCTTGGGACAGCTCTGCAGTGGGCAATGATTGTGCATGTCCGTGTCACTGGCCTGATCCCACCTTCTCCTCCAGCCACGCCACTGCCAGGCAGTGCATGGCACTGCCAGGCAGCGATGCCACTAGCAGGCAGCGATGGCATTACCAGGCAGCAGATGACAGGGTCAGGCAGCAGATGGCACTGCAAGGCAGCAGATGGCACTGCCAGGCAGTGATGATGGCATTACCAGCAGCCGATGGCACAGCCAGACAGCAGATGGCATGGCCAGGTAGTGACGGCACAGCCAGGCAGCAATGGCACAGCCAGTCAGGCAGCTGAAGGCACTGTCTGCCAGTAGCAGCTCTGCAGTTTGATCACAGCAGATGAGGGGTCAGGCTCTATCCCTTCCTAGCAGGGATGTGTCCCTGACTCTTAAGCTGCCCCTTCAGCCAGCACTCAGCAGACTCAGGTAGCTGGAACCACAAGGATGTGGGATGAAAGGAGTGGGAGACTTGACCCCTCATCCCTTTCCCTTATCCAAGAGGGGTGCCCAGTGTCCCTGCGTGCCCTTTGCAGCCTGCCCTGCTGCCGGCAGAGAGAGCCCTGCCAGGCACTGCTGACCGGGCCCTAGGTGTTGGTGGCAGGCTGCAAAAACCAGCACCAGAGTCATACCCAGGAATACTAAAAGGCCTTTAATGACCAGGAGCTTTCTGAAAAGACTCTGCAATGGATTCAGACCACATCTGATGGACTTTTTTTTCTGTTCCTCCTGCAGTGCTTACCCATGGGGCTGTCCTGAAAGCCTTCTGCAACCTGCTGGATATGGGGAAACATTGCTGAACCCCTCATTCCCACTGAGCCATGCTGGTTCATGGTGCCTCCAAAACCACATCTCAGACTCTCAAGCAATGTCACCCTCCTCCATCACACCAGTGAGGACCTCTGTGCACAAGCACCCTCTGCTCTTCAGTAATCCTGGACTATGGGTAGGGAGGCTGTTGTTGCATGAGGCCTGCAAGACCCAGCACTGGCAGCCACATACACAGGTAAGAATGAGAGCTCTGTTTTCATTCTCCTGTTAAATCTTACAGTACCATGTCCTCGGCCTCTGATGTGCCCTGCTCCTGGGAGCCTGCAGCTGGAGATGGGGCCATCCACCCATCACTCTGCTTCTGAGTGCTCAGCTCAGCATTGTTCTGGGACCAAGGCGAGGGGACAGTCATAAACTGCACGTAGCTCTGTGGCATGCTTGGCTGGTGCTCTCAGCAGAGGAGATGATCTCTGGAAAGGCAGCAAGCCGGGAGCATGAGAGACCACATGCCTTTTTGTGTCAGCTGCATGTCTGGGATGACTCACATTGGAAATTATTCAGTAAGTTTAGCATCCTCCCAAAAACCCCAGGGCGCAGGAGCTCCTCACCTACTGGTGAGAAGCAAGAAGGTCCCTGCAGCCAGAGGCCCAGGGGTGCTGGATTCAAGCCAGAAATCCTGCCTGCTGCTCCCAGAAGACTCTTTGAAGCTCACACATTTTCCTCTTCCCAGTAGTGGAGCCTGCCGCAGGCAAAACCTACACAGAGCAAATGCCTTTTACCCCTTCCTACGCTGTAACCCAGCTGTGGTTGGGAGAATTTGCTCTCTGCCACAGGCAAGCTGGTGTTTGGCACCACTGTTTGCCAGGCAGACACGAGGTTTCTCCAGCAGACCGGCATGGCCAGCATACCAAGCTCTGCAACACTCCTGCAGCCAAGCCACTTGCTTCACCTTTGTGGGGCCAGTTCCTCTTGGCGCCAGGAGCTTTCTCCCACTTCTCACCTCCTGTTCCTCCTGCCTCTAGGACACCCTACTGCCCTAATTTCCATGCCTAGCCTTCTCCCAGCAACCTTTCCCAGTAGTGTCTTCCACCTGACACCAGCCCACACTTGTGACTGGCACTTTAACCTTTTCCTATGACACACTTCAGCAGTGCCTCTTCTTGACTTTCCTGTGTCTCTCCTTTTGCCTTGCTCTAGTCCTGCTGCTGCTGAGCATCTCTAGTGATGGGTATCCAGGGCTGCCCTCTCCTCAGTGCCACGGTTTTCTCGAAGTTCCTTTTTGTTTTGTCCCTTCCAGCTCTTCTCTTTCCTGTTGTTTGGGCCCAAATGATGGTATCACAGCTGCCTTCAACTCCTGCCAAAGGGCACCCAACTGCCTCCTCTCCCTGCACCTCCAGCTGGTTCCACTCACCCAGTCCTGCCAGCCCTGATGACACATGGAGCTCTGCCCTGCATCTCCTGTCTCTAGCAGCCTGCTGGCCTTTCCCTTCCCTACCTCCCCCCCAGATCTTCTTTGGCTGCTCTGCCCGTGGTCACTGGATTCCTCATTCTCACTGAGTCCTTGGTCCCCTTCCTCTCCTCCTTAGTATTTCCCTAGGCACCCTATGGCTTCAGTGGTCACCCTCATGCAAATAATCCCTGATTGCTCATTATCATTTATAATGCAATGGAGCCTCTAAGCACCAGACGAGTGCAAGGGCCCCTGTGGCACAGAAGTGCAATGAAAACGTGTTTCTCCTTCCAAACCACTCACAGCCCCAGCCTCTCACATCTCTCCAGGGCAGCCTCACCTCCTCCTGCATGGCCTTGCACCCCCAGATGCTTCCAGACATCTCCCTTTAATGTTGTGCTGAGGCAAGAGTCAGGCTCTGGAGGAGCTCTCCTGGAGAGCAGATAAATGTTTCAGCTCCTTCCCTGCTTTGTCCTTAAGGAGATGCTGGTGTCTTACAGCCTAGCCTCAGCTTTTCCTATTTTCATGCTCCTGTGGCCACCATCATCATAATGTGCTGGCAGCTGGTGCACAAGCTTCTGGGAGCCCTGGAAACTGCTTCCTTCCATAGCTGAAGAGATGAAGCATGGTGAGGGACAGGTCCTCAAGGTCACAAGGCTGATCCCGCACCCCTGACCCAGGTGTGGTGTTTCCTTTGTTACAGACTCTTCTCATCTTTAACCCTTCTCACCTTGCCTAAAATTAGATGGGGATTTTTGTCCCTGCTTTGCACTGAGATGACTGGTGTGTGAGGACAATTACATCTGCTGACTGTGCGGTTTCTCCAGGCACCCCAAAGCACTGTGTGGTGGCCTCTTTGGAGATCCCACCCTGAGGGATGAGGCAGAGCTCACCTCTGATCCAGACTGGCAACAAACATTTTCTTTCTTCCATGCCTGTCCTTGCACAAAAGACATCCTTCTTTTGCTCCTGTCCTATGAGCAAAAGGCATTGGTGGCCTTTCCAGCCATCCTTGCTTGCTTGTTACCTCCCTGCTGCTCACCTTGCCCTCCAACATCTCCATCTCACCATGTCTTCCCACACCTCCAGAATGCCAGTGCCCGAGGGTTCTTTCATTCCCTCTGCTCACTGTCCTCTGCCCTTTCTTCCCTTGGGATTTTCCCTTCAGCTTCCTCTCCAAATGCTCCTACCACCCTGCTCCCTTCCCCAGCAGTCATCTCCCCTTTCTCTGCCCTGGGACTTGTCCCCTCTCATTTTTGGGAGCAGCAAACTTGCTGCTTGAGTACAAAGTGCTGCCTCAGCTTGCAGGAGACGAATGGTTTGTTGATAACGAGCCTAATGAGGCTGTATTTCAGGCAGCCTGGCAGTCCACAGCTGGTTGTCAGTAAACCCTTTTCAGTGCAGAGCTCTGTGTCCCTGCACATAAGGAGCTGTGGAGGGGATCCTTGGATTTATTTGTTCTGTGAATTGCTCAAGAGCTCTCCAGCCCACATACCTCCACCACACCGGCACTGGCGTCACGGGACTGTCACCTCTACATTTCACCCACCTCCATAAATCATAGCTCCTCCTGAAATGCAGGCTGAGAGCTGCCTGAGAGGTTGGGTGCGGCAGCCTCTCTGCTTCTTGGGGTTAATAAATAGCTACAGATTTTTGCTGGTCTGCTTCCACTCGAAACAGGGAACATCAACAAGTGGCAAGAGGGAATGGCAAACAGTTGTGCTCAGAGCTGTGTGCTAAGGGCCAGGCAGAGAGCGGGCAGGAGAGCTCGGCTCTCCTGGGGTGCCATCACACCACAAATTTTGGTGGTCTCAAGGGGCAGAAAACTCTGCAAGCAATGCTGCAGGCTGCTGGTGGGGCTTGAAAAGCCAGCAGGGCTTCTTGGCATCTTCATCTCTATACAGCCACAGCGAAGCATCCGTACCGCGGCTCGTCTCAGATCCCAGCTCCTCTGATCTACCGCCTCATGGCGTAATGGGTACTGAGAAGGACTTGGCTCGCCCTGGCGGTCTCCAGAGACGGACCTCCTAACGAGTGAAGCGAGATCTTCTGCCACCAGGCGCTGATGCATCATTCATTACCACTTGGAGCTGGGAAAGAGGGAGGGAGGGAGCTACTGAATATCAGGCCACGACATTTGCTTCTGATCAAAACCAACCGAATCCAAAGCGTTGCTGTTGGAGCAATCCTCGCATCTGTGCTGGGCTGCAGTTAAGGTTACTTTAAGCTTTCTAACTTCCCTGGTCCTGCTGTTGACCTCTTCTTCCCCAGCACCCAACGAACACACTTAGCTGCAAGCGCCTTGCTTGCGCTCCGGGAGGCTGACCTTGAGAAGCCTGAGATGCTCGAAGTAACCCCTGGAGGGATACGTGAGTTGGTGCGACACTGCTGCAGCCCAGCAAGCTGTGTCTGCTGAGGATCTGGCCCACTACAGGTGTAAATAAAGACGAGGGATGCTGTCACACTCTCACTCAGAGTGGCTGGCTGGGATGTCTGTCACACAGAGTACTTGGCTTGGATGTCACAGTCTCTGCCCTCACCTGACTTCATGTGTTTCTTTCTTCATAAATTCTTTGATGCTGGGGTGTTTTTTTGGCATTATTTTAGTAAACGGTGGTCACCATGAAATAGCATTTCCCTGCAGAAAGAAATCTAGAAGGCTGTAGCTCATGTGCAAAAGGCCAGGCAGACATGCCTGTTTTCTCAGATGTGGCTGAAACCAATAAAACAGGGCACGGGGAAGGAGACAGCTTTATGGTAATATTCAAGTGTACCAAGCATGTATCTGGCTTCCAGTGTGAGCATTATGCTGCTGAAACCAATGGAAATACTAGGGTGTGCTGAGATATGTAATGAAACATCTCATGGACTTGAGACATGAAGGAGATACTGCTTTATTAACAGTATGAATCTGTCAAAAGCAGATGACCTTTATGGCAGGGAACTGAAAATGCTATTTCTGATAATGAAAACGATAATTCCTGCAATTGCTTGATGTTTCAGTTATTTAAAGGAAGTGTAAAAACTGTAGCCCAGAAACTGCTCAAAGGCATCAGGACACTGATGGCCCTTGAGTCAGGAAACCTGTGCTCCACTGGCCAAGGGCTCTGCCATCAGGGATTCCAAAATGGGCTCAGGGAGGAGAGCTCCACTCTTCTCCCTCCCACAGCACCTTAGTCTCTTCAGAGCACAGACAGCCTAGTAAGGCTGAGACTTAAGGATCCGCTGCTCGATTGTCCTTACACTTAATTGCAGAGGAACAAGAGAAGTCTGTTTAAAGGGACATCTGTCCTCAGGGCATTTTTTGATTCTGCTTTCTCTGAACTTCTGGGAGAAACATTATTGACTGTAAAGAAGATGAAAACATGCTTCTGGAGAAATAACCCTAACATCCAGACTGGCTAGGATGTTGTGAAGGTCTCGGCAGTAGCTGTGAGTGAGGATCCCACCTTTCTGAACACCCCAGTCTTCCTCAGGACAGACCTGCTACTGCCCCAGCATCTTGCTTGCCTCTTGCCACCAGCCCAAACAGCGGTCCATGAGAGCACTCACCATCCCTTCAGCCACTTGCTAGCTCTGTCCTCTGCCTCAGTGGGATATTTTGTTTCCACTTTCCCACTGCCATGGAGTCACAGCCACTGGGGAGCTCCAAGACCAGAACAGGGTTATTTCTACCCACTCAGAGTTACATCTATTTGGGTACCGCAGTTACATCAGATCAGCCTCCTCAGTCCAAAAGTCAAAGCTGGTTTTTGACAGCCATCTTCCATTTTCCTTTCCCTGACTTGGAGCAAATTTGCCCATTTGCCTTCCCTCACCACTGCTTCTTTTTTTTCATGCCAGAGTTTACGTCCTGTAGATCTTTGCAGCCAAATGCTGAGCCCACCACTCTGCTCCAGTACAAGGCCCTGAGTTACTTCTGTGCTTTGCTCTTTCTTCCACCCCAGCAAGGATAGTGAAGGGTCTAGCCATTAAAAACTTTGCAGGAGGCAGACCCTACTCTGTCCTGTCTTCTGGGAATGGGTCAGCCTTGTCCTCAGGCTGACCCGCCCCCGCTGCTGCAGCGTCAAGGGGCCACATCTACCCAGATACTCAATGTAGCCTCTTCCACGGGAAGGATGTCAATTGTTAAAGGCAAATTCAGATGAGAAGAGGCTTAAAAATATAAGGAGGAAGGCAGTTTCTTCCCTTGCTGGCTAAAGGAGTGCGGGGTGTTAAGGCACTCTCTCCCTCCTCTCATGTTAGGCTGCTGCTGACTGGATTTACCCTTTGATCAAGCCTGCTTGTGGTGATGCTTTGCCTTGGCATGATTTAAGGCTCACCCAGGCAGCAGCAAAGCCTGCTGCATGGGCAGTGGGTGGGTGCTCACCTCCCATCTCAGGGAAGGGGAAACTGAGGCAGATACCACAGCGCCAGTGCTGGGTGAGCCCAGGACACAGGTCTGCAGATTGTCCCTAGACCTTTCTGACAGAGACAGGGTTGGGAGCAGCCTCCTTGCAGTGCTGAGCACTTGCAGTCCAGCTCATGGGAACTGGATGGGGTTAATTGATCTGCTTCTGTGATGAAGCTGGTCTGTGCCCTGGCCTTCCTCTAAATGCTGCCTGCCAAAACAAATCAGCTAGCTCCTCTCCCGTCCACCCAACCGCCCCGGGCTCTCTGCACATCCATTCAGTTAGTTTTGCATCTGGCAGGCAGGAAAGGGGAGGGCAACCCAGGCCCCTCTCTCCTGGCAGCTGCCAGAGATGGGCTGCCTGTTTGCTGGGCACCATCCCTGCCAGGCCGCTCTCCCCTGCAGCTACCAGGAATAATAACCTGGTCCCATTCCCATCATGGGCTATGCTCCACGCCATCACTCTCTTCAATAACACAGCTCTATATACCCCCAGCCTCGACGCTGTGGGAAGCACCCAGCAATCTCTTCCACCTCCTCAGCATTCCCATGATGCTGGCAGGTCTCCAGGGCTTGCTTTGGGATTTATAGGACTTGGGGTGGAGAAAGCTGCCACCAGCTCTGGTGCTTTAATTAGGAAAAAAAAATGCCCTGCACCTTGGCAGCGTCTTTCCCCTGCAACTTGCCAGGCGACGACCGATCCTCTCTGACTGCTTCTGACTGCTTCTGCCTGATCATCCAATGCTGCCGGGTCTTATCCTGATGATCTCTAATAGACAGGATCCCAAAGAAGGGACCTAGTGCTGGAGTGCCTGCAGGTGCAGCATGAGCCAAGCCCCGTGTTGCCTGCCTGTCACCCTGCCGCCGCGGAACAGAGGAGCCTCCGAGGGGACTCAGAGCAAGTCAAAGCATCTCTTCCCTACCTGAAGTAACATCCCAGGCTCCAAAACACACCTCGGCTCATCCCATGCCCATCCCCATCGGCTGCAACCTCTCACTTGGGTGGCAGAGATGTGTTTCACATCAGGCACGACCCCCAAACCCTCAGCCCGTCTCCAGTCACCCCTTACCCCATGCCTCGTGCTCGGTACTCACTTTCAATGAATAGGCCAAGGCGATGAAGCCGAGGCAGCAGAAGTTGAGGTATACAAAGTTGAAGATGGACCAGAGATAGTAGTCGTTCACCTCGGTGGTGTCAGGGTAGATTTCGATGACGGTGGTAGGGTTGGTCATCGTCTTCTTCTCCACTGAGTGCTTGCATGGGACCGCCGGCCGC